ATCAATACATAGTATAAAACAAAGTCGCTTTCGCTGTATGTCCGTATGTATGCTTAGATCTTTAAAACTACGCAACGGATTTTGATGCGGTTTTTTTTAATAGATAGAGTGATTCTTAAGGAAGGTTTGTATGTATAATACATGCATATTGCACCCGTGCGAAGCCGGGGCGGGTCGCTAGTATACTATATTATATAGAGTTTGTTTTTTTGTTTGTTTGAACGCGCTAATCTCCGTAACTACAAGTCTGATTTGAATAATTCTTTTTGTGTTGGATAGCGCATTTATCGAGGATGGCTATAGGCTATAAAACATCACACTACGACCAATAGGAGCAGAGCTGAGCAGAGCGTGTGAAACCCCGCGGAAGTAGCTAGTCATTAAATATATACAAGTAAATCAGTTTACTTTACAAATAGCATGACAAAGTTCCGTGATGGGGGCGGCCATGACAAGCGATGTATAATCTGAATAATGTAGCATTGCTACTGCCGATCGTAACTGGGTCATATTTTATACTATGTTATTATCATAGTGCAGTCTACCACAAGGACTGCGGTTCGATCGCTAGGTAAGGTTAGTACCTATAGGCAAACATGACATACTATTTTAAAACGGGGTAGATAGCTTCATTAACGGCAACGTTGTTAAATAGTAATAGAATGAAACCTATTTCAAAGGGAAGAAAATTTGGCAAAAGGTATGGAAAAATAAATTACAGAGGTCGAAAAAAGAGCCGCGGCGAACTTAACGGGTTACCGGGGCTCCGGCTCGAAGTGCAGGAGTAGCAACAGGGTGGTTTTTAGTCAGTAAGAGTCTGACACTCCCTCCCGCCTCACCCGGGCGGGAGAAGTCCTTCTCTGATTTTTCCCCCTTATAAAAAAGAGGGCGAATAGAAGATGGGTACCCACCATTTTTTTCTTCAAACGCTCGTTTGAAGAAAATCATTCGGTTTATCGGGATTTGAGGAAGGTTCTACAGAAAAAAGTTTAATGGCAAGGTTGTAGATACTGAGAAGATTTAAAACTTTGTGTTTAGACTTTACATATCCTCAAAATAATCTTTGGTTTTTTTAAAAACCAAACCGACAGCAGTCCGACAGTCCGACAGTCGCTACGGTCGCTGCGTCGCGGGCAAAGAGTATAAATCCCCTAATAAAATACTCTTTGGAGTATAATAAGTAACTATAGGGGAACCCGCGAATTTGATTGAATAATATATAATTTATAATAATTTTATTTAATTTTAATTTTATATAATTTTATAATTGAATAATATATAATTTGATTGAATATAATATATAAGATTGAAGACAATCTTATTATACTCTTTGGAGTATAATAAGATTGTCGCGGGTCGCGGAATGCTGCTCATAATTATGAGCCTCTAGCATGGCTTGAAACTAGTCGAGTTCCTCGTCAAACAGTTACGTGAGTAAGCTGAAAACATAATATTTTTTTTTTTAAACTTAGCCCCACACTAGGATTTTCTCCTGTGTCGTGGGTGCGTTTACAAACATACAAGTTCACATACACAATGACACCCAGACCCGGAACAACAATTTGTGGATCACACAAAGTGTTGTTCCGTGCGGGAATCGAACCCGCGACACGTTGCACGGCAGCCGGTTGCCCAGACACCGCACCAACCGTGCAGTCATTCTTTTCATAATTAAAATTCATATTGTACCTACGCGGACGTCAGTGGGCGACAGCTACTTATATCTATACATATTACATCAACTCCCGTGGCACAGTTAATACGGCCTGTCGGTGACCGGGTCGTGACATGCTGTACCTTGCGCCATTGAACAGACCGTTTTTGTAAATATGAAACCGACGTAGGTTCCACAGCACCTCAACCTACATCAATCGGTTAATATTTTCCATTGGATTACCGACTTTGTATCGAAAAGATCAAGGTGGAAATTTGAATAAATAAATTGACAGAAACGTGTAGTTTGATGTGGATACTTAGTTCATGATTGTAGGTCGTAAAGAGATCATAGTTATTTAATGTAAGGTCTAATTTCGCAACAAAATGTAACCTTACATAATATCGGCTTTTTTTTAAGGGGGGAAAATTATGAAACTTCACCCGCCTGGGTGAGGCGGGAGGGAGTGTCAGACTCTTACTGACTAAAAACCACCCCGTTCCTTCTCCTGACCTTCGAGCTGTAGCCCCGGCAATCCGTTAAGTCCTCCGCGGCTCCGTATCAGCATCAGCCCTATTGGGCCCCATCCGTGGTGGTCTGATGGCTCTTTGAGGGGCGCGCGGAACGCGACGTGGCGTACGCTCAGGTCTGGTGGCTTACTCTTGAATCCAATTTCGATCGATCGACATTGGTATTGCTAAATTTCGTACTCTTGAATTGCAACAATAACGCCAATAGCATCCGTATTGCGTGGATATTGAATGAACTAAATGGTATTGAGTTAGTCTTTATATTCCGTACTCTGAATGCTATTGTAACAGCTACGATTGTGGTTGTATAGTGTTGACATTGAATAATTATTGAGATTTTATTTGATTGAAATTGCATTGACATTGAGATTGGTTTCAAGAGTAAGCACCCTGGTTCTGGTCGGGCGGCGAGCCACCCATGCTCGCCGTCCGCAGGCTCGCGCTGACTTAAGTGATAGGATACGTTTTATCACAATTAAAAAGAGTAACCTATGGAGTTTCTTGCTCGTTCTTTTCCATAAGAATGTACACCTTGGAACGAGCAAATAGCTTCACTAGAGGACTGACCTACAGACTGACATTTTTTCTTATTATTTAATATTTTAATATTTTGTTTTGACGTTCAGAAGTGCCATCCTGGTCTAATTGAAATAAATGATTTTGACTTTGACTTTATCCCGTAGCAACGCGGGCAAAAGCTACTAATTTTAGTCTTAACTAATTTTAGTCTATATTCCACAGGCTCTAACACAGGACATCCTAACCCTTCCAGTGGGTATAGCCATCACATCAGTGGCCATACTCCTATTCTTCATCAGTTTCATGGGACTCCGAGGCGCCATCACAAGGTCACCCTTCTTATTGTTCATGGTAAGTACAATTCAAACTTTTTTTTATAGCATAAGCCGGTAAACGAGCAGACGGATCACCTGATGGGAAGCAATCGCGTCGCCCATGGACACCTGGAACACCAAGGCGTTACAAGTGCGTTACGGGCCTTTTGGGAATTGGGAATTTGAGGATTGTGGAGAATTCAGGGATTCGGGAAACCTGTAACCTCATTCACTCACACACTCACGACGAAACACAACGCAAGCGTTGTTTCACGTCGGTTTTCTGTGAGGCCGTGGTATCACTCCGGTCGAGCCGTGCCGAAGCATGGTTCTCCCACACTTGTTTTTATATGGCAGCAAGCTAAAAGAGCAGATAGATCACTTGTGGGCTTACTCTTGAATCCAATTCCGATCGATCGACATTGATATTGTGAAACGTACTCTTTAGTTGTAACACTAGCGCCCACTGCATCCGTATTGCGTGGATATTGAATGAACTAAATGGTATTGAGTTTGTCTTTATATTCCGTACTCTGAATGCTATTGTAACAGCTACGATTGTGGTTGTATAGTGTTGACATTGAATAATTATTGAGATTTTATTGAATTGCCATTGAAATCGGTTTCAAGAGTAAGCACTCTGATGGTTAAGTAACTTCGCGAGTTACACACGTGAATTTACTGAGGAAAGCTCTACTAGTTTCGATCCACAGAGGGGTTCTTCCTCGTGAGCAGCGTGCGCGACGTCGCCGCGACCGCGCACGCTGCACTTATTTTAGTATGTCTCACGATAGTTATTATAAAAACACCCTGATGGTAAGCGATCGGCGTCATATTATTTTAACCAATTAATTAACATATTCCCTGATGTTCTGTTCCAGTACTCCGCGCTGGTACTACTGCTGCTGCTACTGGAATGCGCACTACTATACTACTTCTCAAGCAATCTGGTCGAAGTAAGTGAAAAATATCTTAACTAATCATCATAATACGAAGAGCTACCAGACCACTACATATGGGGCCCAATAGGGCTGATGCCGATACGGAGCCGCGGAGGACTTAACGCGTTACCGGGGCTCCGGCTCGAAGTGCAGGAGTAGGAACGGGGTGGTTTTTAGTCCATAAGAGTCTGACACTCCTTCTCGCCTCACCCGGAAGCAGTCATTCGATGATTTTCCCCCCTTAAAAATAAAAAATCATCATAATAAATAAAATAACATAAAAATAATGACTGCCTCGGTATATGGGCATAGGCTCACCCCCTGTTACATGGGGCTCATGACGTAAATAGTGAAAAGTGGGTGTTACATTGTATAGAGGCATTAAGTGCCGTAATGTGCACCTCTGCCAACTTCTTCGGGGATAAAAGGTGTGATGGTACGTTATAAAACGACTTCTGGTTGATTTTTACAGAAAGGACTATACAAAGATGATGGACTGTGGACTCACGCCATGCGACTCGCATTCAGATGCTGTGAACACAAGTATGCCAGTCATTATTTATACTACACTTCATTCAGTTTGTCTCCTCTGAGAAAATAAATCAAAGTCAAAGCATTTATTTCAATTAAACTACCTCTATAATTTGGTACTTTTTAAACGTCAACAAATACAAAAATAATAACAGTCTGCCAGTCAGTGAAGCTAGCTTCGAACATGTAGATTCGAGTGGAGAAGAACGAGTAAGAAACTCCAATTTTTTTATGGCATAAGCCGGTAAACAAGCAGACGGATCACCTGATGGTAAGCAATTGGCGTCGCCCATGGACACCTGGAACACCAAAGGCGTTACAAGTGCGTTACCGGCCTTTTGGGGATTAGGAGTTTGAGGATCGTCGGGGATTCAGGAATTGGGGAGATTGGGGAAGTGGAGGGTAATTGGGCCTCCGGAAACCTCACCCACACGACGAAACACAACGCAAGCGTTGCTTCACGTCGGTTTTCTGCTCGGCCGTGGTATCACTCCGGTCGAGCCGGCCCAGCAGTGAAGCATGGCTGTCCCACACTTACATTCGTTACTCTTTCAAAAAACCATCTCTTTGGTATAATTCAAGTACCTATGTGACTTATTTTTCATATTAACTAATTATTATTGTTTCCACAGCACTTCAATACCGGAAACAAGGAAGCCTCCATGGTCATGTTGCGGCCCAAACTTGTACCCAGAAAACTGTACCACTGCACTCATGTTCCAGAAGGTAAGACCAATATTCCATTTAAATCACCCAACTTTCCACCCACTTCAACCCAATTTAGTTACAAGCAAGTCGGCCACTCTTACCCATCCTAGTCATAAGCCACTTTTACCCATCGTAGGCATAAGATAATAAGGGAAAATATTAATGGTTCCGAAAAAGAAATTAATCTTCAGAGATCTGTGGCCAACTATAAAAATAGATCTTCGAATAACAAAACTAAACTTCCGAATAGAATATTGAACCTCCGACAAAATTACTAAGTTACCGACAACAGACGTTTTAGGTTAGGTTAGTATTGTAGCAATAAACAGTCATGTAAAGTAGTCGGAAAGTTAGTATTTTAGGCAGTAGATTTAATATTTTCAGTGAGGACAAATTCTTCTTTTCTTGTCGGAGCTTTTATTACTACCCGATAATAAGCAATTCATGCATTCATTGAGTCACTGTCCAGTGACACACGTACGCTGGTATCGTCATGAGCTAATGTTGACATGTGAACAGTGACTCGTGTAGTGTAGAGATTGTCCAGTCAACTGATGGTAGCGAGGTTCACTGTCCAGTGACACACGTACGCTGGTATCGTCATGAGCTAATGTTGACATGTAAACAGTGACTCGTGTAGTGTAGAGATTGTCCAGTCAACTGATGGTAGCGAGGTTCACTGTCCAGTGACACACGTACGCTGGTATCGTCATGAGCTAATGTTGACATGTAAACAGTGACTCGTGTAGTGTTGATGTCCAGTCAACTGATGGTAGCGAGGTTCACTGTCCAATGAATGAAACACGTACTCTGGTATAGTCATTGGCTAATGTCGACATGTAAACAGTGACTCGTGTGGTGTAGAGATTGTCCAGTCAACTAATGGTAGCGAGGTTCACTGTCCAGTGACACACGTACGCTGGTATCGTTTTGAGCTAACGTCTTTGTTACAGGATTGTCATGCATCAATAGTGAACTGGTTGGACCGATACCAGTTGCCGGTATACACGTCTCTGGCAGTATTTCACGTTGCAATGGCGACCTGTGCTATCATACGACGATCGAGTTCTACATCTCAATCTCTTAGCTAGCGGTCGCAACGGCGCGCTAGCGGTGAGTTCATTTTTCATTAATAGGGTAGATGCCTAATTTGTATTTCAATGTCCGTCTGGTAGATTATTTTAAATCATTAGACACGTATTTTTAATTTTCTCACAGAAACGAATACTTTCGACGATAAATTGATTTGAAATGTCGCGTGACGTCACTTCTATGTACAATTTACGTAGAAATGACGTTTTAGCCCCCACTCTTAAACTTTGATTCGTTTTATCTAAGTATTGTTTTGTTATACGACAAAATAAAAAAATACGTGTCTAATGTTTTTTCATTAAGTACCTAACTTACGGACTAATTATATTTTTAATTTTCATACCTTGTCATCATCCCAATTATTACTTACATACATAACATTACGCCTTTTATCCCCGAAGGGTAGGCAGAGGTACACATTACGGCACTTAATGCCACTGTACAATGTAACACTTTTCACTATTTATGTTATGAGTCCCATGTAGTAGGGGGTGAGCCTATTGCCATATACGGGGCACAATTGCAGACCGTTTTACAACTGAGAATTTTTTAAATCCCAGTAATACTTTGCCCAACCCGGGAATCGAACCCGACTCCTCGGCCAATGAGGTAGTTAGTCCCATATGACCTCCGAGGAAAAAATAGGGGGAACAATGGCTTTAATATAAAATAAATAAGCAAGTTATGATTTGATATCAAAAGTTGAGCTAAAACATCTAATTATAAATAATCTATCTACCTTTTGTACTTTTAGTCTTAATTCACTCTGTCTACTGCAGTAATTCACCGAGGGAAGTGGAAACTGACATTTTTTTTCTTCTCCTCTTATAATATTATCTTCTGATTCACTTCGTTGCGGGAACCAAGACAGTTGTTCATGTCCCTGGGACGCGCCGGACTACAGTGTTCCGGTGTTTGCATGGTTGTATCTACTGTAGATCCTGGCTTACAGGAGTTGCAGCGGTTTAGGGAGGTTGTGGCGGGCTTGTCCCTTAAATAAAATCCATCTCCCTTCTTAATATAAAAATATCAAGCGGAGGCCCTAGTACCAATCTCCACAATCCTCGAGTCCCCAACAATCCTCAAATTTCTAATCTCACACTTGTAACGCCTCTGGTGTTTCGGGTATCCTCAAGTGGCGCTGATCGCTTACCATCAGGTCATAGTCAGCTCGTTTACAGTAAATTAAATCTTATTTATGCTTCTTTTACAGCGTCACCGCAACCAGAACCGTCAGAGGTTCCGAGGATACGACCTGGATGGAGTACCCGCGTGGCCCCGACAGTGGAGCCATCTAACGAAGACGTTATAATGCTAGTCGTAGGCAGAGCCAGGCTCGGCTGGGTAGATAAATAACTTTAGTGACTATGCTGGGTAGAAACTCGTGACTAGTCTGGGTAGAATAGCGAAGTTTGTGACTAGCCTGGGTAGTGAAGAGACGTGACTTTTCTGGATATAAAAAATGTGTCTAATATTTAACATTACTACAGTGAAACCTGGTTAAGTGAGACATCAAGGGACCTGCAATGTCGTTTCACTTATAGAGGTATTCCACTTACCCAGTGTCTCAGATATACAGGTCATTACAGGTATAAATAAATATCTGTCTCATTTACAGAAGGTTCCATTAATAGAGGTGGACTTGGAATTACGTGTGGAATTTGTGGGTAAAAAAAGAATGTTATCTCAGTTACAGAGGTTTATGCATATAAAATTTACTCGCTGTCTCAGTTATAGAGGTAATTATAATGATAAATCGAAATAACATATCCCAGATATAGAGGTTTACCTCTTCACTAACAGAGGTTATTCAGTGCCAAAGTGTTGGGACCTCAGCATGAGTTCCAGTTATGGAGGTTTCTCACTTATCCAGGTCCCACTTAACCAAGTTTCACTGTATTATATTAATTTTTATCTTTTAGTTAGAGTCTACCTTAAGTTGTACAATGTACATATTATTATTTATTTAACCTTTCCCTAAATACTTTTTATTTATTTATTTTTAAATAAAACATTGCCCCACACTAGGATTGTCTCCTGTGTCGTGGGTACGTTTACAAACATACAAGATCACATACACACAGACACGGAACAACAATTTGTGGATCACACAAAGAGATGTTCCGTGCGGGAATCGAACCCGCGACACTTTGTTAATATTTCTCGTTTTAATAAAAGTACCGAGTTAAGCTTCATTATATTGTTTTAAAGTTACCTTAATAATGTTTTCTATTATTTGTTAACAAATTATTCGACTTGTTTTAATAGAATAATTTTTATTAATTATAGTGCTTGTGTCGAAAAAGAAATCTAAGTACTAGACGGACATTAAACTACCCTATTGTGTACATATTTAGCATAAGTAGGTATAAGAACAGGTATCTAATGCTCAATAAAAATATTTTAACCTACATTTTGAAGATTTTATTTTTTGATTAACGAACACGACAACAGAAATTCAGAATTCGGTGCACTCAACCAATAAGATGAAAATCACAATAATACATTGACATTCTTTGCCCAAGTCGAAATCGAACCTTGCTTGACTACTATGGTATTAACTTCAGATAGCAATAAATACAATAGTTTCAGTTTTCTACCGGATACATTTCGGTGAGTGTGCGGAGGAATTCCACAACTTGATTCCCCCTAATCCTTTCCATCATCGTACCACAAGACAATCGGCGAAGCGTCACCGATTCATGGTAGATGTCCCACCCACACGCACGAAGCGCTTCGCATCAAGCTTCCTTGTGCATACTGCTAAGGAGTGGAATTCTTTGACTGAGTCTGTATTTCCTGAAGGGTATAACCTGGGTGTCTTCAAGGCCCGAGTGAATATATTTGCTTATGAGACGACGTGCTCCATCGTAGACCGCATCATCGCTTACCACCAGGCGAAATAGTGGTCAAACGTCAGAACATCAAATATAAAAAAGAAAAAACATAAACATAAACCTTCAAGGAAAGAGCGTATTCCTTTTTAAAAGGCCGGCAACGCACATGTGACTTCTCTGGTGTTGCGGGTGTCCATGGGCGGCGCTGATCGCTTACCATCAGGTGATCCGTCTACTCGTTTACTTCCTATTCCAAAAAAATGACAACAAAAATATCCATATAGAATAAATTACAGTATTACTTATATAAGTGTGGGAGAGCCATGCTTCGGCACTGCTGGGCCGGCTCGACCGGAGTGATACCACGGCCGAGCAGAAAACCGACGTGAAGCAACGCTTACGTTGTGTTTCGTCGTGTAAGTGGGGTTACAGGAAGCCCAATTACCCCATTCCCTAGTCTCCGTCTCCCGAATCCCCGAATCGTCCACAATCCTCCAATTCCCAATTCCCAGAAGGCCGGTAACGCACTTGTAACGCCTTGGTGTTTTGAGTGTCCATGGGTGGCGCTGATTGCTTACCATCAGGTGATCCGTCTGCTCGTTTGCAACCTATTCCATAAAAAATGACAACAAAAATATAACATAACATAACATCACGCCTTTTATCCCCGAAGGGGTAGGCAGAGGTGCGCATTATGTCATTGTACAATGTAATACCGACTTTTCACTATTTATGTTATGAGTCCCATGTAGTAGGGTGTGAGCCTATTGCCATATACTGGGCACAATTCCAGACTCCGTGCTACTACTGAGAATATTTAAAAGCCCAATAATACTTTGCCTGACCTGGGAATCGAACCCGAGACCCCTTGCCCAGCAGTCGTACTTACGACCACTCGGCCAAAGAGGCAGTCAATTATAACAAAAATATCCATATACAATAATACACAGTATATTATAATGAAGCACAAAGTATCGATTACATTTGACCCCATTTGTAACAACACAATAGCGTGTCATATAACTGCACTATTGAAACTAGGACACGTGGGGTGACTGGAACTTATACCAACTCGTCAAAGTTTTGTGATTAGCCCGGAGTTTAGTGATAGCGAATAGGGCCACAAACAAAAGCCTTTTTGTTTTGGTAGGTAAGTAGGTAGATTATTTTTCTGAAACAAATTGCTTTAAAAATGTAGGTAGCTATAATTTCACAAATATTTATTTAATGTATTCTATGCTTTATGCTTTAACTACGAAACAGCAGCTGTAGCCAAATGCCATTTAGCGCTTGTCTACATGTAGAATAGAAAACTAAATATGTTATATAATATGCGACATTTCTGAAGCAGTTAGTGGGGCTAGGTTTTGAATTTTGGTTTTCGAGACCCCTTGCCCGGTAGTCACATTTGTGACCACTCGGTCATCGAGGCAGCCTTTTTTAGTTTAGTTTAGTAGCATATGGAATTGAAGTAAATTTAGACACTTGTCAGTGTCATCCCCATACATTTTGATTTCTACTCTCTCGGTAGACAAGCGCTAAAGTGGAGTTTGGCTAAAGGCCCTGTAACGTTAAATACGCGTATCGTTTTTGATGAGTCTAGGTAAAATTCACGCAACTTAGATTTGTTTATTTCATCAACTTCAATAGTACTTTCTAAGATTATTTATGTAGACTCCACTGACAAACGGTGAAGGAAAATATCGTGAGGAAACCTGGACTTTTTTCTAATAAGGTAGTTTCCTACATTTTATTTTAATATCCGCCTGGTAGATTAATTTGAAACGTAAGACACGTACTTTTTCTTTTCTCACAAAATTAAATACCTTCGACGATATATTCATATGAAATATCGTGTGACGTCACAGCGTGTCACATTTTGTAGCACGTTATGACGTAACGACCTCCCACTCCTAAACTTAGCGCCATTTTATCTAAGTATGGTAACTTAATACGAGAAAATGAAAAATACGTGTCTAATATTTTTTCATTATCTAACTGACGGACTAATTCGATTTTTAATTTTGATACCCTGGAAACTACCCAATTATACCTAAGTTTGAAATCGCCAACCCGCATTGAGCAAGGTACCGAGTGGTAATAAATGCTCAAACCTTCTCCGTGTGAGAAGAAGCCTTTGATCAGCAGTGGACACTTATAGTACTGATGTGATGTGACTTCTTCCTGCCATATTATCAAGAGGAAATTAAAGAACATTTTAGTTATAATATGAATATGAGCCTGGCTTGCTGTCATACTTCTTTTGATCTTCCATCAAAATGGCGGTCAGGTATTGGATGCGGAGTGTTTCATGAGATACTGCAGCTTCTTTAACCTGGAAAATAAAGTAACTTTTACCGTCGTTGATTCGATATGATGTTTTATTATAAAACACTGTAAAATTGTTCATGAAGTATTGTTATGTTGCAGGATTATTCAAGTATAGTTATATATGTTGGTCATAAGATATAAAAAAATTAAATAAATAAAAATGCGTCGTTCTTTAAGAACAATTGAAAAAAATGTATCTATATTTTGACCATAGATAACAAAAAAAGTAGAAAAACCAAAGACGACAAAATTAAAATTAATCGATTCTTCTGTATCTAATCGATTTGACATTTTTGCGGGAAAGCTATAATTCTCATTAGCATTTTAAAATTCTAGTTTTAAGTGTGGGAGAACCATGCTTCGGCATGAATAGGCCGATACCACGGCCGAGCAGAAAACCGACGTGAAACAACGCTTGCGTTGTATTTTGAAACAACGCTTATATGCAGACGTTGTCCTGCATATGATATAATAATAGGTATAGATAAATAACCTAGAAACCTACCGTAGCGCCATCTGCCGGGCTGATTTATGAATTTAAACCATCCCTGAATCGATCAAACCGTTTAGGAGGAGTTCAATGACATACACACGTACTTACAGCAGAATCCTTATCCTTACTAATATGATAAATCGGAAAGTGAGTTTGTTTGTTTGTTTGTTCTGCTTTCACGCCGTAACTATTAAACCGATTGCTTTGAATTTTTGCAGACGTAAAGTTAGAAGTCTTGATTAAATAATAGGGTACTTTTTATCCGGGAAAAAATGATATTCTCGAGGGAAAACAAAATTATTGGTATAGATGGCGCTGTGTGTATTGGTATATTGACATATACCATATAAAAAGTAGCCTATGTGACCATAGGCTACTTTTTATTGTTTTGTGACGCGAGCGAAGCCGCAGGTAAGCTAGTTAAATATAAAGAAGAAGAAAGAAGAAACCCGTTTCCCGTTGTCACGCCATAAGTTGAGAACGGCTAGACCGATTTGGCTGATTTGTTTTTTGTTGTATTTGTTATTGTCAGGAGAAGGTTCATATCACAGAAAAAAAATCTGATAACATTATGGGAACGGGAGAAAACGGGATTGCGCGTACGAAGTCGCGGGTAACAGCTAGTATCTAAATAAAATCCAATCATAAGCTTTTTGTCGAAAGAAAAGAACTGTCTGGGAGTCGACTTACTGCCACTACTGTAGCCTTATTCTTATTGATATCTTGAGCACCATGAATATGTGTAAACAGCCTCGCTACTATGAAGTACAGGATCTCCACAAAGCTGATGAAACTTGCACCAAGGAACAAACCTGCTGCACCTCCAAAAGATACTGTGAAGTCATAAAAATATAGCATTATGACATAATATCACCTTTTATCCCCGAAGTGGTAGGCAGAGGGGTACAAACGGCACTTAATGTCACTGTATAATGTAACACCTACTTTTCACTATTTATGTTATGAGTCCCATGTAATAGGGGCTGAGCCTATTGCCATTTACCGGGCACAATGCCAGACTCCGTGCTACTACTGATTTTTTTTTAAAAACCCAGTTATACTTCGCTCGACCCGGTAATTGAACCAGAGACCCCTTGTCCGGCAGTCGCACTTGCGACCACTCGGTCAACGGAGTCTGGAATTGTGCCAGATGTATGGCAATAGGGTCACCCCCTATTACATAGGACTCATAACATAAATAGTGAAATGAAGGTTAACATTGTACAGTGGCATAATGTGTACCTCTGCCTACCCCTTCAGGAATAAAAAGCGTGATGTTAGGCAATGTATTAGGTCCCATTTGGGCGCCATAAAATCGAAATGGCGCCCGACTGGGACTCATCATTTTGTGATTTGATTTTTTTTATTGTTTATTAGTAATGCTCGAACGTAGCCTTCCCAGTTACGAAATAAGTCATCAATTTCATAATGCAACCAGTAAATTTGCATCCCACCAAAACCTTCTGTAAAGTCTGTCTGCCAAGTCTAAACTTCTTTATTGCGATTTCGGTATTATTATAGTTAATGTTGTGTGACTTTGCCGTTGAAGGGTACACAAGGGTCCAAAACCAGGTGCTCCATGAGACCATTGTACCAATCTGTTGCCGCTACCCATTGATGATGGAAAATTACCACTTGGAAAACGTGGTGTTACCCTTCAACGGCCAAGTCACACAACATTAACTATAATAATATAAATAAGTGTGGGAAAGCCATGCTTCGGCACGAATGGGCCGGCTCGACCGGAGTGATACCACGGCCTTACAGAAAACCGACGTGAAGCAACGCTTGCCTTGTGTTTCGTCGTGTGAGTGAGGTTACCGGAGGCCCAATTACCCTCCCATTCCCCAATCTCCCCAATTCCTGAATCCCCAACAATCCTCAAGCTCCTAATTCCCCAAAAGGCCGTTAACGCACTTGTAACGTCTCTGGTGTTCCAGGTGTCTATGGGCGACGCCGATTGCTTTCCATCAAGTGATCCGTCTGCTCGTTTACCGGCCATTTTAAGCCATAAACAAAATAACAAAATTGCAATAAGGACGAATATACGACTTTATTATATTTCATTACTTTTTAGAGATAAACTAGCAGCTCCATCGAGACTTGGCTAGTTTTTTACAGAATGTTTTTGGTGGGATTTCAGTTCTTTTTGTAGAATGCGGATATTATCTTCACTATTAGTCCAATGCATGTCTAAATGTTCTTAGAAAGTACATATAACTCGGAATAAGTCACATTGGTATTAATTGCCGTCGGTAAGCTTCGAACACGCACCGTCATCCATGAGAAGCGGGTGTCTTAAACCCCGAGCGACCACGACGCTACTAAAAATACACTGCGAAGACTGTTTTACATATTTTGGGAGAGTTAAAAATCAGATATTCTTGAACAAACTTACCAACGAGATCTTGGAAGTGGAACACGATCTCCCTGGTATACCTGGTCTGAGGAGCTTGCACGGAGTACTTTATGGAGCCGTGCAAGTTGAATGGAGGGTTACCCCTGTAAATGAGACCTTATGTAGTGAGTATATAGGGCATAGTTCTGCTTGTTTTGTTAGTCTTTGGAAGTATGACAATACGAGTTGTCGGTAGGTAGTTACAAAAAACTTTTATTTAATATAGCTGTTGCCCGCGACTTCGTCCGCGTACAATATGATTCTTGTTTTATCCCATGGGAGCATTTAATCGGGATAAAAGTACCACCTTTGTTTTTGTTTTTTTTTGTTGACGGGGGGAAACCTTCAAAAGGCGCCTAGCTTTTTGGGGGAAATAAAGACTAGGGAGTGTGGGGTTTTGACCTCACTAAAACCTCCCCGGTGGCCACCATCCGCATCCTACCACCTAAGTCAACCAATACCAGTATACCAAATTCATAAAATCCTCCTATTCCATAAAAAAAATAGTGGAAAATATAGTAACTTACCAGACCTGTTCCTCAACAGTCATCTCCTTGTAGTTGCAGTCTATGCACTGAGGGACACATGAACACTTCTTGTCGTTGTTCCTCAACAGTTTGTGGGCGTTGTTGGCCAAACACCACATGCCTTTTGGAGTACAGGGTGGACCACCTGGAGTGTGAAGAAGACTATAAGACCTCTGCCTCCAGCGGGGCGGCGACGGCGCGGGAGCGGCAGGATCTTATGCGTAATATCAAATGGACTGGTTTTTGAAAACAGAGGCGCGCGGGCGTGCAACAAGCGGTGCAATCCAGTTCGCCGTCACCGCTTCCCGTAAAAAAATTTGAGGCCACAACTTTTTCTTTTTAGAACAGATTCTTAAGGAAAGCTAGAATAAGGTCGTGGTAGTCCAGAGTTTAAGGTGCCCGCTACTCATGCATGAGAGTGCGGGTTCGAAACCTACCAACAGCAAGTACCAATGTGAGTTATTCCGAGTTATGTACTTTCTAAGATTATTTAGATACCACTGACAAATGGTGAAGGAAAACATCGTGAAGAAACCTGGGCTTACAATTTTCAATTATGAGTTTTACCAACTCGCATTGAGCAAGCGTGGTGATTAATGTTCAAACTTTTGCCGTATAACAAGAGGCCTTTGGTCAGCAGTGGGCATATATAGGCTCCACAACCTGCACTCTCATGCATGAAAAGCGGGCATCTTAAACCTCCGGGCCACTACGACATATACCACATTACCAGAGGTCTAATCACCTCCCCCACACTCCAAGTAGTGTGACGATACAGTTATGACTCCTCATGTTGCAGCGTAGATGTCCATGGGCGACGCCGATTGCTTACCATCAGGTGATCCGTCTGCTCATTCACCCGCTTAGGGCTTGTACACAAAACTGCGATGCGACGTCGCATCGCAAAAATATGCGAGCTCCCTCTACACACTTAAGTTATATATATATTTTATGGAATAGTAGGCAAACGAGCAGACGGATCACCTGATGGTAAGCGATCAGAGCCGCCAATGGACACCCGCAACATCAGAAGAGTCACAGGTGCGTTGCCGGCCTTTTAAAAAGGAATACGCTCTTTTCTTGAAGGTTTGAAGGTCGTATCGGTTCGGAAATACCGCCGACGACAGATCATTCCACAGTTTTGCTGTGCGAGGCAGAAAGCTACGTGAGAACCGCACAGTTGTGGCCTGCCAACCATCTATATATTATATATCCATATATTATATATTATATTATATATTATATTATATATCCATATATTATATATCCATATATTATATATCTATATATTATATAACCATCTATATATTATATAGATGGTTGGCTGATGGATGGTAACATTTGCTTAGTCACCTGCCACTTTCATCTCTGCACCACCTTAAGGTCGACTGTGAGACAATGCCTAAGGCATTAAGTCCACCTGTACATTTATTATTGTACTGTAAGTCTTAAATAAATAAATAAAATAAATAGTGCTATAATTACCATCGTAAAAGTAGTAGAAAGGAACACAGTTACATAATTCTTTAGCCAGGTTACTCCTGCATGCGAGTCGACATGTGTTTGTACTGTGTACCTGTAAAATAAAATAATACTACATGAACCTCCTGCTCAGTAGTGGTCGATGATACCTATAAGCTTCAAAACAGTATTTCCTTATAGTGTGCAAAAGATCGCCAGAACATAACATAACATAGCATCACGCCTTATATCCCCGAAGGGGTGCAGACATTACGGCACTTAATGCCACTGTACAATATAACACCCACTTTTCACTATTTATGTTATGAGTCTCATATAATAGGGGGTGAGCCTATTGCCATATACCGGACACAATTCCAGACTCCGTGCTACTACTGAGATTTGTTTTTAAAATCCAATAATACTTTGCCCGACCCGGGAAACATATTTCAAGAGGAGTTTTTGTGGGAGCTACTACAGGCTCGCACAAGAACAATTAATCCTTACTAATATTGTAAATCGGAAAGTGAGTTTATTTTTTTGTTCCGCTTTCACGTCGTAACTACTAAACCGATTGCTTTGAATTTTTGCAGACGTAAAGTTAGAAGTCCAGATTAAATAATAGGGTACTTTTTATTCCGGAAAAATTTGATATTCTCGAGGGAAAACAAAAGCATTGGTATAGATGGCGCTGTGTATATCGGTATATGTCACATAGGCTACTTTTTATCCTTTTGTGACGCGAGCGAAGCCGCGGGTAAAAGCTAGTACATATAATAATAAAAAGAGAAATAATTTAATAAAACATAACAAAATCTAATTACGAAAGATATTACATAATGTCGTACTACTATAAGAAATGAACGATCTACCTTCCGCCCACTCAATCTCGGCTCATCCATATAGGAACATCCTCGTCGGGAGGGACTCAGATCCTTGACTCCCCTTCCACATCTAGACTCCATGACACTGAGCTCCGTAGTTCGGACCAATGTCAGTATGATGTCCGTCCAGCCCACTGATAGATCCATGACGTCGTATGGGGAGTGGACGTAGAACTGGGGATAACAATCAGCCGAATATACTTCCCCCTCCTTTTTTTTAAGTCGGTAAAAATAGACATTATCTTAAGACAAACGGTGAAGGAAAACATCGTGAGGAAACCTGGGCTTATAATTTCTAATTATAAGTTTGAAATCGCCAACTCGCATTGAGCAAGCGTGGCGATTAATGCTCAAACCTTCTCCGTGTGAGAAGCGGGCTTTGGTCAGCAGTGGCCACTTCTATTGGTGTGATGTGAATTATCTTAATTGTGTGACGGTGTAGTGATGACAGAGTAGAATCCACCAACGCTACTCCTTCCGCGGGTGTGGCATACCCGACTAAATTACTACACATAAGACAATCGGTAAAGCGCCACCGCTTCATGGTAGATGTCCCACCCACACGCACGAAGCGCTTCGCATCAAGCTTCCTTGTGCGTACTGCTAAGGAGTGGAATTCTTTGCCAGAGTCTGTGTTTCCTGAAGGGTATAACCTGGGAGTCTTCAAGGCCCGAGTGAATAGGTTGCTTATGGGACGACGTGCTCCATCGTAGACCGCATCATCGCTTACCACCAGGCGAGATAGTGGTCAAACGTCGACTCATAAAGATAAAAAATAATGTTTAGCCTTCCTTAGTCGTGCAGGGTACAAAAGATGCATTCTGCTTACCCTCCCGTTGGCAGGGATGTCCGTGATGATGAAGCAGCTAAGAGAAGCGTAGGCACAGCTACCAGGCCAACCTGCGGTGGCGTTTGGCTTCAGGGGGCTGGAGACGAAAAAATTAATAAATTTACTGCAACATGACAATTTACCTATATATTACATTAAAAAGTTTATTCTTCAGAAAAATCAGCTTCCATCCATAATATCGACCACCGTAAGCGCGGGCCCTCGGACGGCGAGCATGGGTGGCTCTCCGTCCTACCAGAACCAGACCCGAGCGTAGGAGCCATCAAACCACCACGGATGGGACCCAACAGGGCTGATGCCGATTAGGAGTCGTTTTAAACTGTCAAACACCAAACGGTCACCGGTGACCGCAACCTATTGTTCTATAATTGTGTCTATAATGACGGTACTCGACGAGTTAAGAAGTAAGTATGCTGTTTGATGCTAAAAAACGTGCGTCACAATACACAATCTCGTACAAAATTCATAGAAAACAGTCGTTTTTGACAGTTGGAAAGAAGTATTGAGTTTGACTAGTTGGCGAGTGGGATTGAAATAAATGATTTTGTTTTTTCATCTGGCCTAAACTACATATACATGACGATCGACGTCAACGATGCGGACGGCGAGCATTGGTGGCTCGCTGCCCGACCAGAACCAGACCCGAGCGTCCGGCGCCGAGCAGTCCGCGAGCACCTCAAAGAGCCATCAGACCACCACGGATGGGGCCCAACAGGGATGCCGATTCGGAGTCGCGGAGAACCTAACGGGTTACCGGGGCTTCGGCTCGAAGTGCAGGAGAAGGAACGGGGTGGTCTTTAGTCAGCAAGAGTCTCCCGCATCATCCAGGCGGGAGCAGTCATTCGTTGTTTTCGCTCCTAAAAAAATCCATAATATCGACGACGTTTTCACTAATATTATTACCAGAACCATCATCGCCAATCTCTAAAACTGATACGATCGGTTTATAATAGCTGGAGTAAGAAACCAACAGTTTTGATTCGAACCTATTTAAATATCTAATAGAGACCGCATCAATAGCAATATTGTATTTCGTTGTGCTAAAATGGCGATCATTTGACATAGTTAAACTAAATTTATTATTTAAAAATTCAATTAAACACACGAACATCAAGTGTGGGAGAGCCATGCTTCGACATGAATGGGCTGATAACACGACTGAGCAGAATCCTTTCCCCAATCCCTGAAACCCCAACAATCCTAAATTTCCTAATCCAGAAGGCCGGTAATGCACTTGTAACGCCTCTGGTGTTCCAGGTGTCCATGGGCGACGCCGATTGCTTACCATCAGGTGATCCGTCTGCTCGTTTACCGGCTTATACCATAAAAAAATCACTTCAAAAAAATGAATGAAGATGGTTTAGGGAACAGAGTGGAAAGTTCCCTGATATCTGAAAAGGAGGATCCTCCGACCAGGCAAGATGATCGTGCCTGGCGGGATTTCTGCCTAACAGTTGTTCATTAGGATTTTCTAATTCGATTGTAAGCTTCGCATATGCGATGTAGGATTTTATGACGTCATCCGTTGACATGTGACATATGTCGCCACAATGGTACTGGGTACAGAAGAAAATCGTAATTTGCCTCAAAGTTTAAGCAAAAGTTGTTTATTCTATCTTACCCGACAGCTACATCAGCGACCGCCAAACAGTTGGTAGTATGACAGACTCCTGCCTCCGTCATCACGGGTATCCACGGGTACGCGACTCCGTCTGAGGACTTCGTCTTTATCAGGTTGTCTGGCATTACCTGGTGATGATGATCAGGTATTTTAGTAGATCTTGAAACACATTAACTTATAGGTGTCCACTGCTGACCAAAGGCCTCTTCTCACACGGAGAAGGGTGCTTACTCTTGAAATCAATCTCAATGTCAATGCAATTTCAATCCAATAAAATCTCAATAATGATTCAATGTGAAAACTATACAACCCCTATCGTAGCTGTTAAAATAGCATTCGGAATACGGAATGTAGAGGTATAGTCAAAATCAATACCATTTAGTTTATTCAATATCCACACAATACGGATGCAATGGGCGCTAGTGTTGCAACTCAAGAGTACGAAATTTCGCAATACCAATGTCGATCGATCGGAATTGGATTCAAGAGTAAGCTTGCTCAATGCGGGTTGGCGATTTCAAACTTATAATTAGAAATTCGAAATTCGAAAGTCCAAGTTTCCTCACGATGTTTTCCTTCACCATTTGTCAGTGGTGTCTGAATAATCTTAGGAAGTACATGTAGCTAGGAAAAAGTCACATTGGTACTTTCCGTTGGTAGGTTTCAAACCTTCGCTCTCATGCATGAGAGGCGTCTTAAACCTGCAGTTTACTCGATCTGAGTGAATAGGTTGCTTATAGGACGACGTTCTCCATCTTAGACCGCATCATCGCTTACCACCAGGCGAGATAGTGGTCAAACGTCGCCCCATCAAATATACAAGGTGTAGTTTTGAAACCGTGGCATTTCTCGGGGGCATGTCACAGAAGTCATAAAGGTTCAATGTAAAATAAAATTTCGGGCCATTAGATAAAAATACGGCTATAACAAATCGTTTAATTTTGACAGTATTTCAGAATAAGCGACAGCAATGTTTCTTATTGGCGTTTTATGGAATTAGGAATGATATCAATTACGTGTTTGAGTTTGTGTGTGTTAAGCCGCGTTACAAAACTAGTAACAAGACCGCGGCGTGTAGTTCGCACTTACAGATTTCCGTAATTTACAGAAAAATGAAAAAACCTACAATTTTTTTATTGATTCGGACTCAGAATCGATAGCCGAGTTACCTCCTAGAAAATCACGCGGCTTTAAAACAACACTTTGTATATAAAATAAAATGATCTTAATGTTTTTATAATAACTATCGTGAGACATACTAAATGAACTAAAAATCGCGGGTTACTCACGTGAATATACTGAGAAAATCTCTACTAGTTTCGAACCACAACGAAGTTCTTCAAGCGTTATATGCAAACACTGACTTTGTGCCGAACCCGGAATTGAACCCACTACCCGCGCCGCTGGTGAACGTACGCTTTAACATCGTCCAACGCGCCGCCACCGGCGCGGTGGGCTCGCAGCGCAAGTAGCAACACCGATGCAAGCGCCAACGCCAGCCAATAGGCTGCGCGCATCGCCGCGACCGCGCATGCTGCTCATGATGAAGAACCCCTCTGTGGTTCGAAACTAGTAGAGCTTTTCTCAGTATATTCACGTAAGTAACCCGCGGTTTTAGTTAAGATCATAATGTCATAAAACAATGAAATTATATCTTCCACTCACATCAACAGCCACCCCAAACATATCGACGCTGGTCTCCATGTCACCAAACTCCTGGAACCCCTCGAGGTGGAGGATGTCAGAATTGGCGATGACTTTCACCAACCTCACATAGGACTGGTATTGGTCATCCGAGGGTTCCACTCCGAAGTACTTCTTAACTACTGCTGGTAGTTTCTTGCTGTCGACTCGATTCTGAATAGAATTTTGTATTGTGGGTCATTCTGTACAAACACTCAATTTTTTTATTGGGATAAGCCGGTAAACGAGCAGACGGATCACCTGATGGTAAGCAATCGGCGTCGCTCATGCACACCTGGAACACTAGAGGCGTTACAAGTGAGTTACCGGCCTTTTGGGGATTAGGAGTTTGAGGATCGTTGGGGTTTCAGGGATTGGGGAGATTGGGGAAGGGGAAGGTAATTGGGCCTCCGGTAACCTCACTTACACGACGAAACACAACGCAAGCGTTGCTTCATGTCGGTTTTCTGCTCGGCCGTGGTATCACTCCGGTCGAGCCGGCCCAGCAGTGCCGAAGCATGGCTCTCCCACACTTTTTATGGGATAAGTAGACGGCTCTCCTGATGGTAAAGTCAAAGTCAAAGCATTTATGTCAATTAAACTATAATTTTGTACTTTTGAAATGTCAACAAATACAAAATAACTAAATAATAGTCTGTCTGTCAGTCTGTCAGTCAGTCCGTCGGTGACGATAGGTGCTCGTGCGAGAAGAACAAGCAAGAAACTCCATTCGTAACTCTTTTTAAAAAAGTATGTTCTACAATGTTTCAGATACATATTTCAATACTGTACGTATATGTGATAACAATGCAAAGACACGCTTGACGCATTATACTAATTATAAAACTTACTAAAATAAAAAAATTGCAAAGCCGGTAAGCAATCGGCGTCGCCCATGGATACCTGAAACACCAGAGGCGTTACAAGTGCGTTACCGGCCTTTTGGGGATTATGAATTTGAGGATTGTGGGGATTCGGGGATTGGGGGTTTCGGGGATAGGGGAGAAATGACAATAAATTTTAAGATATAAATAACTTCACGCCTGTCACCCATGGGGGTAGGCAGAGACTATGAAACACCAATTGCTACCATTCCTACATAATGTACCTCTTTCGCTTCATCAACAGTCATAAATCTTTTCATGCATGCTCGTCGGTTAAGGGTACTTTTATTTGGCCCTTCTTTAATATATCGCCAATCTGGTCACTATATGTCCGTCTAGGGCGCCCTCTATTTTTATCCTGATTAAATGCTCCCATGGGATTAAACAGGAATCATATTTTACACGGATGAAGTCGTGGGCAACAGCTAGTTTAACACAACTAATGAGAAATATCTGTCTTATTGAACGAAGTTTTTAAGCATCTCATTATCATCATCATCATAACCTCACATGTGAAACAAGTGAAACAAGTGAAACAAGTGAATTTATTTCTGCAAATAGGCTACAAGGCAGCACTTTTACACGTCAATTTTATCAAGCGAACGATGAGGCCGACATTTCCTAACTAACTACTCTGAGAAGAAATGCCGAAACAAACTCAGAGGTCTGTCTCTATTAACATGACTCATCAACAGCCTAGAAGTGCCCACTACTGAGCAAAGCCATCTTCTTACACGGAGATGGTTTGAGCATTAATCACCACGCATGCTCAATGCGGGTTGGCGATTACAAACTTATAATTACTAATTATAAGCCCAGGTTTCCTCACGATGTTTTCCTACACCGTTTGTCAGTGGTGTCTAGATAATCTTAGAAAGTACATATAACTCGGAAAAAGTCACATTGGTACTTGCCGTTGGTAGGTTTTGAACCCGCATCCTCATACATGCGAAGAGGGCGTCTTAAACCTCCGGGCCGCCACGACGATAATAGAAGATCCATAAGCTACTTACATTAAAACACAAAGTTTGAGCTGGTAAGTAGAAATCCCAGGATCTAAAGTCCTTCTCCAAGGTTACCACCGTTGGGGACTCATTGTACCGCTGCAACTGACCCAGAGCCACGTCCAGAGCACCCCACACACATAGGACAGTCACCACAACCCATAACAGTCTGGAAAAGAAACATTCGTAGCATCAGCTGCTTTTTTAGCTCGAACTGTAACGAACTATGTAACAAAACCTAAGAATCTGAATTACACACACTTGTAATAGGGATGATGACAGGGTATGAAAATTAAAAATGTAATTAGTCTGTAAGTTAGGTAATGAAAGAATATTAGACATGTATTTTTTATTTGGCCGTATAATAAAACAATACTTAGATAAAACGAATCAAAGTTTAGGAGTGGGGGCTAAATCGTCATTTCTACGTATAAAACGTACATAGAAGTGACGTCACGCGCCATTTCTAATTAACATATCGTCGAAAGTATTCCTTTCTATAAGAAAATAAAAAATACGTGTCTAATGATTTAAAATAATGCACCAGACGGACATTAAAATAAAAATTAGGCATCTACCCTATTGTTGTATCATCCAGTGGCGTGCAGTCCATATAGGCAAAAAGGCTTTGCCTACCTTACAAATACCGTGAATAACACTACGTAATAAAAGATATAAACATTTTAATTTTACTACAGAAAACTAAAATAATAATTATAATAAAATTAGTGAACGCCTAAAATAAATAGTATAGCAACAATGATGGCGCGCGATACGTGTTGCATTTCGCCAGGCGTACCGTATATAGCTGTAAACATTAACGCGTGAGGCAGGCACGCGGTTCCGTCGCCTGCAAACCATTCATAAATTTAAGCGTGTAGTGGTGAACGTCATTGTGTGCGTAGTGCACAGACGCGTTTATTTTATCGTCGCGAAGCTTGCCTGCAGGCACGGCCTGACGACTCGTGATTGAGTTCGCTGCGTGCCGACCAATCACGTTCCGTGTCTTGGTTTACTCATTGGTCGCCTCGCAGCGAACTTCACGCCGCTCGCGCGTGACAATTTTTTTGTTTTTGTTTACGTGCGATGCGTGGAT